TTAGGTACACCCTCACTCATTTTTTTAACTCATTTCCTCCAGGCTCAATATAAAACATATTCTCCTTATGTTTAAGGTAATATTCCTTAATTTTGTCCTAAAACCCCAACAATATCCTATAGCTCAGCTTTGGGATGTTCCCCATTTAATAGCTAAGTCCAAAAACCCGAGGTTTTTTTTTTTTTTTTTTAGCTTTCATCCTTTAAAAAATATATATGTACCTTTCTGCTTCAAGTCCTTGTAATCTGAATTTGACCCAAGCTACTTAAGAAATATCATTTACCATAATGTCTCTTGCAACCTCATAATCTCTAAATTCAGCACACTTATTTTTGTGCACACTCTATTGGTCATTTCTGCTTGCATATGACAACTGGAAGCCCTAAAACCCACACTAGAAGTCTTAAAAATACCCTTGTTTCCTCTTATCTCTGTGACACAGGTATAACATGATGATTTTGCTACAAATCTAGTGTTATTGTAGGCCTTCCTCTTCATTTCCTGTCCTTTAGTAAAGGCCCCAATTATCTCTCACATGAACTCACTTCTTCCTGCCAATATCCTTGTGTCAATCTCCTTGCTCTCTGGATTACTTGCTTCTCAATGGCAGCTCTTCTTTGTCCCACAAATCAGGTTTTTAAGAAAGCATTGATAGTCCTCCATGACTGACTGCTACCTGCTTTTCAGCTGCACCTCCACCTAATGTCCAAACCACTCAACACACCATTACTCTTATTCCTGTTAAAAACAGCATATTTCAATCACAGTTAGGTGCTTGGATTTTTTCACACCTTATGCTCTTGTTTGTTTTACAAGTGTTGGTCTTTCTGTCTGCAACACATTCTTGCTCTATTCTCCGAAATAACAGTTTTCCTTAATTATATTTATCTTTAATACCAGGGAACTCTCCTGTCTTCAGCTGCATTGGGTGTCCATTCTCATTGGATGTCCATAGTCTGTGACTATCTAGTAAAACTGCATTTGTTAAATGCTTTTGAATCCAGCTACCCCAAAAACAATAAAGGACTTTAGTAAAGTTGATTCTTTTAAGTTGTTGAGCTAAAACTCTAAGTGTCTTAAGGGAAATGATGCTGTGTTAGGAATATTAGTAGTCCAAGCACAATATCGTGTAAAACATATAGCCAGCACTTTGTATATACCTGTTGAATAAATATATGAAATAAATATAAAATAATTTTGAAATGACAGTAAAAACTCTTCAGCTAAATTTCCAGTATTTCAATAAGGTAATAAAAATTGTCATAAATGATCACTATCAGGGAAGGTGAAAAGGGACACCCAGGTAATTTCAAAGGTACACCTAGGTCAGATGGTGCTTAAATTGAATGTTTAAAGACAGAGAGAGAAACAAAACAGACAAAAGCACTGGTTTTGCATTTGTCTGTGTGTGTGTGTGTGTGTGTGTGTGTGTGTGTGTATGATAATAACTTTAAACATCTCAGTGCTTAAAAACATGTTTTATTCTGCACTCATGTTATGTTGCCTGCACCGGCAGATCATCTGTGACTCTGCTCCTCCCGTCTCCATCAAGGTGCCCAGAATGAAGGGAAGTCCCTATTTGGGTCATGCTATTTTCACGGCAGAAGGAAAAAACAAGAGAATTAAGAGAAAATATGTGATGTTTTCTTGTAGTTTGATTTCAGTCATGGTGTGTATTTTGCTTGCTTCTATGCCATTGGCTAGAGCAAGTCACATGATCAACTGGGTGACAAGGAATAATCCTTCCATTGGAGGCGCCATACTTCCCACATCAAAGGCACTGATGTATAACCTTCTTCAACGAAGGGGAAGAATATTTGTGAAAAACAATACCCAGGCATTCAAAAATACATTAAGAAAGTCATAGAGGGAGGTAAGAAAAAAATAAAATAAGTAGTAAGATCCTAAACATTTATTATTGCTGGTACTACAAAGGAAGCCAGCAAGGATATCTTTCAACTAATTATTGAAGCAAAAGAGTATGAAATGGTGTGATAGAAATGTGATGGAAAAGTTTGCAAAGAACAAAATATAGAATAAAGGGCAGGTCCTCCTACAAAGGCCAAGATTTGACAAGAAAACGTTGCATATGGAAAAACAATTGACTGGGGCATTTGGGTGGGACTTTGGTATACTTGAGGTGGAAGAAGATGAATGAAAGAGGACCAGAATAAATGTCAAATTGGTAAAGATAAAAATTAGTAGCAATTAAGTGAGAGGACTGGGAATGTAAATTGAGAGGAAGAGAATACGGCAGTAGTCAGAGTCTGTAATTAAAGATCAAATAATATGAATAAAAGTAGTGCTTTTATTTTATTGGTATTATTTTTTGCAGCCTCAAAATTTTCACTGAAACATCGTTAAGGAGTTTTATAAAAGAGGCATAATAAGGGAAAACTTTAAAAAAAAAACTCAAGATTTAAAAGGAGCCAGTAAGCAGGGTGAAAGTCAATAAGACTGAAGTAAAATGATTTTTCTGGCTTAAGTTAAGGCAAAATGTGAGAGAAAAGCACAGTCGTCTGATAGCATTAGTCAATGCATTCCTCGGCAGTGTCCAATTTTTGTTCTGCATCCTCCAGAACAAAAATCAATTGATACCTGATTTTATGAACACTTATTTAAAATAAAAGAGATACCAGGACTTTTAAGCTATTAGAGTTTGTGATCCTAAAGGGAAAAAATGAGACTCATCATCAATGTCCAAGCAAAGAAAGTCACATTAGAATCTATGGTTGATTCTGTTAGAGGAAAGTGGGAGACAGAGAAGAAGAATTTGCTTTTGGGAGGGTCAAACTACACAGACAAAACAGGAATTATTTGCATGATTGATCAGAATGGCACATAAAAACATATTCCTATATTTGTCTCCTTATAAATCCTGAAATAAATAAGTATAGAAATATAAAAACAAATATTCCAGTTTAAATGCAGACCATGATGGACATGAAGATTGACACTTTATTAAAAGAATATTCATACCTGAATAATGATTCCTTTAAAATGAATGTAATCATAAGTACACAAACACAGATATTCTAGTAGGGAAATAGATTACAACATGCTATAAATATATTAAAGAAAATATTAGGTTGCTGCAAAAATAAGTACGGTTTCTGCCATTAAAAGTAATGATAAACACCGCAAGTACTTTTGCACCAACCACATATTAAAGTAGAAACTACAATAGCAGAATGAATAACAAAGGGTTACTATGCCTACTGTATAAATTTCATTTTAATATCAAACTTGAATTAGTATTTTAGTGTAATTATATGTATATATAATAACTATAATAGGAAATACTTATATACTGCTTCCTATACACTTATCAATTTTAAAGAATTTTACATATATTAATTTTTATTATAATTCCCTTTTTCATAAGTACACACTTAACACAAAGACTGCTCATGATAAAATACACTTACATATTTCACCATAAATCTTTTTGGAAACAAAGTATGGTAGACAATTTGATAATTAACAAACTAAATAGCCACTATATACCACCCTTGTTTATTGTATATAATAAAGAGAAAAAAAGAGTTACATATAGATCTAGATGAAGGTATAGATACAGACACCTCCCTATTTAAACCTATCCTTTATGCACTGAAATCTTCCTCTCGTACTGAAGGTTAACTACTCCTGTCATTATGGCACCCTTAATAAAAAATATCAGACTCTGTACTTCTAAAAAGGCCATTCGAAAATGCTAGATCTCCTCTAAAGACCTAGTTTCCCTGTGACTGACATCTAATGGCAGAATCCTTAGGGAAGGGGTGGATCATAATGGGTTTTTTATGCCATGAAAAGTCATTTTGATTTTGTCTTGACAGTAGTGAGAAGCAATGGAGAATTATGACAGTTGAAAGTCTTGGTGGAAAGAAAGGTGGAATTGTGAGATGAAGTGCAGAGAAACAAAGTTGTGTGAATTCAAGAAAAAAAAAATTAGATCATCACTCTCATGGAAAACAAGATGATAGAGAAAACAGAGTATGCTTGAGAGATGTTAAAATATACAATGGATATGTCTTGATAACAGATTAGATTGACAAAATGGAGATGATATGGTTCAACAAAATCTCTGTGTCTTCAACAAAATCTCATCCCATGTTGTATTAATAATTCCCAGGTATCCAAGGGAGGGAACTGGTGGGAGGTGACTGGATCGTGGAGGCAGTTTTCCCCAAGCTGTTCTTGTGACAGTGAGGGAGTTCTCATGGGAGCTGCTGGCTTTAAGTGTGGCATTTCCTCACTCTTTCTCACACACTCTTGCCTGCTGTCATGTAAGAGGTGCCTTTGCTTCTCCTCTGCCTTCCGCCATGATTGTAAGTGTCTTGAGGCCTCCCCAGTCATTTGGAACTGTGAGTCAATTAAATCTCCTTTCTTTATAAATTACTGAGTCTCGAGTATTCTTTATAGCAGTGTGAAAATGGGCTAGTACAGGAGACATCCAAGATAACTGTCTAACATATTTTCCAGCTGCATAGAATGTCATGTTAACACAGGTAAGAACTATATAGGAGAAGCAACTTTGGAGCAAGAGATTTCATAAAACCAGTCAATAATATCCATTAATACTTGTAAATAAAACCTTAAAAATTTAATTTTTAAATTTGAGAAAAATGTAAATAGTGTAAAACACGTAAATTTAAGCAACAAAAAATTCATGTAATTTAAAAGTGACATTTAGTATGACACTGTACTATGTTTATTTGATATTCTTTCAACAACTACAATTCCAGCAAAAGGCAATTACTCACATATGGCCTATTTGAAAAGGGTTATGAGAATGACAATGTAAAATAAGTCATGGATCCTGCCTTGAGGCTGTAATACAATGTTACAGATGCCATAATAAAGACGGAAAGATTGCTTCCTGGTATAGAAGAGGTTTATTAGATAAAACTTGTATTTTGAGTTCACATGGTTGCCATTTAGTAAAAAGCATTGCTAAAATGAAACCATAAAACATGTACAAATTATTTACTGCTTACCATTAACAATAACAATGATATCACGGAAGTCAATTTCTCCCCTGGCCTCCACTCTTCCTTCACATCTGTATATACCTTCATCGCTTTTATTGATGTTGAGAATCTGCAGGTTATTGTTTGCTAACATAGCAAACCGATCTGGAAAGAAAGCAAAGGGGAGAAAATGATATCGGTAATTGAAGGCTAAGTTCAGAGTGCTCTAAATTGTTAATAGTTAAAATATGGCACTGTCTGACACTATCAAGCTTTTCATCAGCAAATTCAAATTTGAAAGTAAAATGTAATTTCATGACTTCAATGTTTCTACTCTACACTGCTTTGTTACACCTTTTTTTTTTTTCCTAAAAAAAAAAAATAAAATACATTCAAGACTTTATATCCACATAAAATGGTGGCAGGCTATTATTTCCGTTGGTACCTTGGATGCAGAAATGATACACAAAAGAACAATGCAGAGAGATTAGGTATCACAGATATGCAAACTTTTGACTGCAAATATGTGGCAACATGGGTTGAAAAGGGCTAGAAAATTTATTCAACATCCTTCTTTATACAATAATTAAAAATTTTGCGTCTCTGTTGAGGCAACTAAACGATATAATATTCGAGTCATATAAAGGACACAAAATGATTATATCTCAAATTTATTTAAGGGTTATTTTGGCTAACAAGATAATCTGTAAAGGAGCAAATCGATTATATTTTGTTACTTTATTTCAAGATTCCATTTGTGTGTGTGTGCATGCGCACATGCATATATATATAAATAAGCTGGTATACAGCCTGCATTCACGGATCGTGTAAAGTAATCTGCTACAGTAATCTGTGATGTCTAAGCAGCATCTCAGCCTGGCATTATTTTTTGTGTCTGCCCTGATTTTATAAGCATCATAATCTTGCTGCCATGCTAAAACCTTCTCTCACCTTATCATTCAAAGAATGCTTTTACATATAGTCCAATTTTGAAACTCTTTGTATGGGCAATATCTTAAATTTCCTTAATTAACACATCCATAGATCTCATTGACTATTATCTGTTTGCTGGATACTGTATATAAGACACTTTGATGAATAAGAAACACACCGCTTCTATCCCTTTGGCTTTTTGATCAGGTGGAAAGCTGATATTTTAAGGTACCCAGCCTTTAACATATCTACAGTTGATTGTTTACTCTTTGGGCCAGTTCCAATGTTTACTGCTTTTATCCCTCTCTATTGGCTTGATAATGAGGTTGGGAAAACCACTGAAGCCACGTTTGAAAAAGGCAGAGTCTCCATCAGCCTGATCAAGGAAGGGATATGGTAGGATCCATCCTCTACCTCTGCCACCAATTGGACTTTGCATGAGCCATAAACTGCTAGGGGAGTCAGCCATAAACTGCTAGGGTAGTAGGCCACTCTGATTTGGGGCTGAATTTGTCATAGTAGTTCCTTACTGAGAGGGGAGAAGTTTGGCCTAGAAATAACAAATAGAAGAGCCATCAGGACATAGATACTCATTAAACCGACAAGCATGTGGTTGCTTTTTGTTTAAGAGATAACTAATCAGGGGTGGAAATGCACAGATTCGGAGGCTCCCCCAAAGTGAAAATAGTGATTCGAATGCGATGGCCACACGACTTGCAGCCCACGAGGTGTAAACTTTTCCATAATGTTCACTTTTTTCTTAGGTTGAACCTAAGAAGAGAGACAAAAAATGTTTGTTCAGATTCTTTCCCCTGGTAAATTAAAGCATAAACATGAAATGCCCTCATCGAAAGAACGACCGGGGAGAAAGAAAACCAATCCACCAATCCACAAGAAATGTTAGAGGATAACTCATAAGTGGTCCTGAAATAACTCAAAACTCCTGAAATGTCATAAAGTTTCAAAGTCAATTAAAAATCCTCTCTTCAAGTGTGTGGCCAGATATTTAGAAGAGAGGCAATTATAAATAAATAAAATATAAAATGAAGAGGAACATTATCATACTTAGATCATTGTATTACTGCATTTTCTAACTTGCTAAAATACCTATCATCCTTCACCTATAATGATTTTTACTGATATTTAATGTGAATTAGGAAAAATATGAATAATAAGGAGAAATATTGTTTTAATCAGAAAGGCAGTGCTTTACATTAAGGAGCAATAATTAGAATCACATAATACATATTTTATGGGAATATATCAGCATTTTTTTCATTGAAAAATTTGAATTCGCAATGGCCATTTTAATGCATTATTTCTACTGAATGAAAACTTAAAACTTTAGGAAAACATTAATTACCTGCTAAATCGAAATACATACTATATATATGTTTATATATGTAAAATATTTTCCACACAGAAAACTATGTGAAAATTGCATGTCAGATTCCAAATGTGTTTGTGAGGCCCATGAATTCGATATTGTTCGTAAACTATCATCAAAACAAAGCCCATAATAGGTGTTTCCAGAAAACATTTGAAGAAAGCATAGCTTTAATCAGTCACAAATAACTATTTTATTTGAAATTTTATTTTAGATTGTTTTTCTCAGTTATACAGAAACCCAATTTTCATTATCAAAGTAAGAAAATAAGTGTAATCAGATAATAACCAATAAAGTGTCTGCTTTGTTTCCTTAACTTAGTTATTTCTCTCTCT